CTGCATTTTTGAATTCTTCCAGGTAACTTTATGGTTATATTTCAAGGAGAGTATGTTTCAAGTCTGAGTCTATGCATGCTTCTTTGAAAGTATGCAAGCTTAAATCTATTGCGTCTGCACCACTGCAGTGAACTAAGCAGAGCAGAGCATTGAAATCTATCCTTCAGACTCTCAAAATTTAGAAGCAATTCAAATGTTCATGGACTATGCTGTTAGTAGTTTATGTCTTCATTTGGAATAAATGTGATGATGAATTTATTGTGGAGGTGGATTTTGTGGTTGAACCTATAATGTGTTTCACTAGGTTTGTCCAGTTTTGTCTGGAATTCAGCCATCTCTTCTAGTTGCACTAAAACAGCAAGTAGATATTTATTTTCTCACTACTTTTTCGGAACTATTTCTGCTTGGTTTCCAACAAGGGAGTTAGAGAAAATGCTAAGTACATACAGACATAATGGTACTTTTAACAGCCTTTTAAAGAACACATTCTCTTACTAATTGCCAAATTTTCAGGTGCATCTAGGCCACAAATAATGTGGGAGCTAGAGTAAAAGTCCTTGTTTATGTTTTATACTGCTCGTAACAGCAAAATTATTGGTCGCTTTCTTGTATTGCAATGTTCCTGCTGTCTCTCTACAATGATGTCACTGTAGCTCAATTTATCTACTAGGACTCTTTTTCCTTAAATGTGCTTATTCTGTACCAGTGAGGTTGCTGGGAACTACTTGTCTAGGACTAAATTGCCATTCCCTTGCTCTAAAAAACAGTCATGAAGAAATAAGACCTCTGAAACACTGTGGGAATTAAAAGTGCAGGCCGTGAAGAAATGCTGGATCTGGTGTAGAAATCAAAGTCCAAAGTTTTTAATACTCTTCCCCTGTGTAGTCAGTAACCTCCCCACCCTGTAGACAATTTTCCAAAGCTTTAGACATCACTTGTCAATAAATGAAATGTAAACAGATTTAAACAAGTGTCAATTAAAACATATTTTAAGGTGAAAATAGTGAGTAAAAATGCAAGTCACATAAATCACTGCCATTACCCCAGTAAATCTCGTATGTTGGCCATGAGGACCTGGCTGTAGTTGTGAAAAAGTTCCTATCATTTGAATGGATTTCCTGATTTACACCTCTGTAGCAGTCACACGGTGGCTTTCCATAACAGAGTTCCCAGCACTGTGAATGTATGTTTTAAAAAAGGCAGGTCTGAGTGGAAAGCAATGTTTCCAAAAATAGTTTAATTTAATTGTGTCCTAGAAGAAGAAAATCTCTGTGATACTGTGGCTTGTTCTGTAGTAGTGCTCTCTCTATTCCATCTTGCATATCTAAGCTGCTCTTTTTGCCCTTTTTGGGTCTCTAATCTCTAGAAGTTGAGGAAAGAGAAGGTCTTCACTAAATGGAGTGTATACATGGGTTCTTTCAGTATGCAACTGTTGCTTTGGGGACATATTGTTGGTACAAAATCTAGTTTATTATATATTTTTTTCAAAATGTTCAGAAAGATAATATTCCAAATCTGTTTTTGATAATGCATTTTGGGAGCGAGAGAGGATATCAGATGAAAGAGAAGAATCGTAAATAGGGTGCTCAGAAAATGTTAATTAGAGCAAAAAAATTAATTAAGTATTAAGATGGCATAGAATAGTTGGAATCTTTCACATTTTTCTGTGTAGGGAATTTTGCTCATTGAAGACTTTCGTAATAGTGAAAATCTCAAAAGATTTTTTTTAACATTTATTAGAACTTGCAATCCATGGTGGCCAAATGTCTGTCATAACTTGATTTTAATCGAATTAGATCTGGAGTGCAATTTGTTGCCTTGGCTGTTTCATAAAGATTAGACTGGAAGCATTCCTTTTAGTATTTTCCTAAATTGTTTTACAAAGGAAATAATAGTAATGATTAAAAAAAAAAAAGCATTACTTTTAACCGGAAGAAAATAAATGTTTTGCCTACAGCAAGAAACATAGTTATTTGCAGTATCTATAGACAGTCAAAACACACTGCAGCTTTCCACACAACGTTTATCTTGGCAATATATTTTAGAAAAATCACTCTAAGTATAGGCTAAAATATAGGACAGCCTTATCAAGAAATTTATGGGAACTGGTACACCATCTCTAGAACAGCTTTCAGAGCTGCTTACCCAAGGGGAAACACATTCCTTAATCTTGTGTTCTCTGCAAACACATGTGCTAGCATGGATGACTGCGGTTGGATTTTAGGGAAGCCTGCTGCCTTTGGTCAAGACAGTGCTTAGTGTCGGGATGAAGAGGTGTCAAGGGTTCATGGGCTGGTTTGGCCCAGTTCTGTGACTAGAGGGGTGGGAGGGACCTGCAGATGCACACCCCAGGAAAGGGATAAAAGAGAAAAGGGTAGAGAGATGGGTCCAGAAACAAAACAACTAGTTTCTCCTCAGATATCGGGTTGCAAGATAATACACGATAATGCAATATAATACAGTATAATTAGAATTGAAGCTAATCAAATAAAATGAGAGTGTCCAAAAACTGAAGGTACTCTAATGCTGGGGCAAGATGTGCAGTCAGGGTGAGCAGAAGGGAAGAGAGAGAGATCTCATGACTTTGCCAGGTGTTTTATCTCCTCTCTGAGTGCAGAGTCCTCTGGGGTATGTAGTTCTCTTCTGGGACAGGTACCAGGAACTGGAACATTAACCCAGTGCACTACATGATGTTATGATGTAAAATACCAATAACCAAGCAACATAAGACCATGACAAGAGGGCAGCAGTAAGGGGAAGTAAGGAGCAGGTAGCAGCATGTGCTGATTGCCTCGGAGCCTTGCCTCTGCTGGCTGGAGCCGCTGAGCTTGGAGGAAAGGCCCAGCACAGGAGCAGGGCTTGGGCTGGAGTGTGAAGCGCCTTCACCGGCCTTAAAGCAGGTAGGGAGGAACACGGCCACGTCACCTGCCTTGCTTGAGTGAGAAGTTCTACTTAGGTCATTGGTGCTTTTGATTTTGGTAGGAGGAAAGTGTTGAAAGCTGTTGTACTGTTTCCTTTAAAACAGTGCAGTAAACTGCCTGCCTTTAAATTTCCTCCTGAGGAAACTCCCTGGTGCCCTCCCAGGGCTGCCTAGGAGGGAATGCAGGATGGGAGGCTGACTCCACCTGTGGTGATGCCTTGCAGGAAAGTGCAGGACAAAGACGGAGAGTTAGGAGCAAGGGAAGTGCTCTGTCCCTGGCAGGCAGCTGCAGGAAGGCAGCTCCGCCTGTTCCACCACTTGCTGCCTTCCCTGTGCTGCAAAGTGTTTGGGGTGAAAGAAGGGGCAGCAGCTGGGACTCCTCGGCAGTGGAAAGGCTTTGAATAGGTGAGGATTTATTCTGTGTGTGAAGGTTTTCTGAAGTCTTTTCAGTTGTTAACACTCCTGTTAAAGCCTTCCAGCCTGGATTTTGCTCATTACTACTTTTTTTGCTTTTTGTTTTTCTTTCCAAAAACTTGCTGCTTTTATCTGCCCAGGACAGGAGGTTGAATTTCACTGTGAACTTTACTATCTCTGCTTTTCATGGTATAAAACCATTTTCTAAAAATCGGTACAAAACTGCAGGAATATCTGTCCCATTTGAAAAATATATCTTCTGGGCTATCTGTCAAAATGTTTTGTTTTGTTTTGTTTTTTCCCCATAGTAAGTGGTTATTTCTGCAAATGATATTGGGTTTGACACTGCCCTGCCTTATTGTTAAAAAGCAGCTTGAGGAAAAAAAAAAATGATCTAAGGGAAAAGAAAAATGTAAAAAAGTTCTTTTTTGTGTTTTCTGTAAACCTGCCTTCATCTTCCCTTCTCCTATGTGCTCGCCACTTGCTCATTTGAGGACGGCTGTTGATCTTTACTGCACAATCTGAATAAAAACTATTGTTCTTGGAAATGTTAAATGACCCTCATTCATTTAGAGCGAGAGCTGGAAAGTAGTAATGTACAATATAAGCTATGAAATATTAATTCAGGGAAAATAAGCAGTATGTTTCCCTGTGAGAGACTGAGAGTTTGCTATCAGGCAGAGAGTCTTGCAAGCTAACAGAGGCATTTTGGGAAGGAAAGGTAATATATTCTAGTTGCTATCTCAACTATTCATGTGACAAATACTTGGCAATGCATTTAGTTTTATAGAAGGAATGTATCCATTATTGAGCACTTGCCACTAAGACCTAGAGAACTCCCCATCCAAAATGTGCTACAAGTTTTCTCATTCAGTGTGTTAGTTAAATAAGCAGAATGTGGGAATTAAAAATTACAAGTAATGATAGTTGATAGTAGTGAGAAGCATTTTTAAAGAAAAAAATAGTTGGATATAAATTAATCCTTAATGTTTACTATGTTTTGGAAGTAACAAGATTGTCTCTGGGATAGCCGTTCATTATCTTCGTGTTCCTTGTGATCATAGAAAACAAAATCAACAAGGCACAGAGGGTGCCACCTTTTTTTAGTGTCTGCTTCTTATCTGAGGGTGTATACTGATGATTATTTCTGAGATCTCTGAGCAGGTCAGTAGGACTTGTAAGATAAATCTGAGGCTATTCTTGAAAATGCAGGACGGACTCAGTTCATTGAGGTGTTTCTGCAAATAGTCTACAAAGTATAAGAAAAGTTAAGACTATTGGATAGGTAACTAGATAACTGATTACTAATAGTAATTATGAGCTGGCGTGTTAGAAATTTTGAAATTTGTTAGTAAACTGATTTTTCTTTTTAAATGCAATAATTATAAATATTATTAAACAAAAACAGCAACAGAAACAATCTCATGGTGGAGCTGGATATGAGAAGCTGACTTGAATAAGATGTAGTGATGATGTGGTTGTGTTTTGTGACTTCTGTAGAAGAATTTACGTTAGCACTGCAGTGTAAAGACTTAACAAAACTGGGATCAACTTACAGAGAGTTTTGAAGTAACTTTCTTACCACCCTCACAAAACAAAATGAATCTTCCTTCTTCAGCAGGTGTCAGTGATGAGCATTTATCTGTCTTCATGACTGAATTGCACAAAAGAAAACAACAAACATCAAAGGTCACGTTTTAAGGTATGAACTGACCATGTAATCTATCAAGTAAATTATAGTTTACTGTGTTGTTGTTTTTTTTCCCTTTCTGAAGAATTACTTGCTGTAAACAGTAAACTGAAGAATATTTGATTAAAATAAATTAGATTAAAATGAACTCTAGCTCTAATGCAGAGCAATTGTTGTAGTGGTGTGTTCTGGCAGCAATGATGTATCCCAGAATTAGGGCTGGGCTTCAGTTTGCAGCGTAGTGGGGGATTGTTGTCAGTGGTTTGGTCCTCTGGTTAGCTGTCGCTTGGTTTTATGCAGATCATTTCTGTCAAGAGGTAAAACTAATGAGAATGCTATTGGTTTATAAATGTGAGCGGAAAGAAATGCAGGAATATGTGTCCTCATCCAAAACTGATAATCAGACATCTGTAGTCACACTCATTCAGCCCTGTGAGATCAAATTTACAGTAAATCCAATTCTGCCACTGTTAAGATATTTTAGATGCTTTTCTGAAAGTAACTTAATTTTCTGCAACTTTTACATGCCTATTACATTTTTCAGTTTTATCTTTTATGTATTTTTAAGTAATTGTGTTGGGCTTGATTCATTAAAGTTCAGCTTTAGCTTTATGCTGGTGGAATTCAATTGAATGAAATTACGGTGATGTGAACCTAAAAAACTGCAGTAACATGCTTAGCTATGTTGACAGAAAATAAAATGAGTCGGAGGAGCACAGGAACTTTGCAGAGTAATTATAAAATTACAAAGCAGAAGTTTCGGGTGCTGAGGTTTCTCAGAGAACTTCAGTCCTAACCTCTTTCTTGCTTTTGACATGTTTCATCTCTTTTGCTCAGTCTACTGCATCTGAATAATGAAATAGTGACTCTGACACTGAAGTGCTGATTTACTCTTCTCAACACATCACGCATTTTCCTCAATTTTGCATCTGTTTTCTTGCTGGCAGCAACCTCTTCCATCAAAACTGTCAGTGTTTTTTAGAGCCATGAATTTAAGGAAAAATAGGGAAAAAAATCTTCAAAACCTCTGAAGTGAATTTCTTTAACTCAGAAGCACTTCATATGGTAGTTTTCTATCAAGAAGATATATAGCAGAGCTAGCTGAAAAAGAAGAATGGCAATTTGGAAGATCACTAGAAAGATACTTGCTGCCTGCTCTCAGCAAGGTGTCAGTATTGCCAGCTACAGTGCTTTGGGGAAGGAGCCATTATGCTGTCGGTGTCACAAGAGGACAAAAAGTGGGGAAGATTTAGGATTGAAAAGGGGAACTGAGCTAAATGCCACTTCTATAATACACCTGTCAGCAAGCTGCTCTGGAGGAGAGAGTATAAAATAGTGGTGCCCCAAAAGATGCTCTTAGCTTTCTCTAGAATAAAATAATGTGCCTTATTATGCTGAAATGTCATTGTTATTTTAATTACTGTAAAGAACATATTTAATGTGGGATGTTTTGAATGCATGCTGTAGCCAGGACAGTTTTTTATTTCTGTGTTGTAGTTTGCATATGCAACCACACAGAAAGCCACAGAAAAAAATACTCATTAACTAAAAAGAGCGTAGCTGTTCCTGATGAACCGCATAAAAACTCTTCCATTTCATTAACTCTCTGAAACTTTTAAAAGATTCTCTTAGATTCTGAGAGTATGCCAGATGGAAATAGGAAACAGGAAGGATATTTGGGAAAGTCATAATAGCTATGAAGATCAGAGAGAATTTATGAAAAACATATAATTTGAATTTTATAAGCTATAAATCCTTAATGATAATATTGTTCTATGCTTCTCAATTTCATAATGTTCTATGAATTTTACAGTTCATTACAATAGAAGCTAATTATTCTGTTCCCACATTTGTCTTCATGCAGAAGATCGAAGAAAAGCAGGCACTTTAGTGGCATAAATTTAGAATATTGAAATTTTAACAAGAAACTTTCAGGCTGTTACAGTACAGTAGAGTGGGTATTCTTTTCAGTTTCAGTATTTTTATTACTGTTTCTAAGTGATGATAACTTAAAGAACCATTAAAATGTCTTCGTAAGTTCTTTCCAAATAATTCAGAGGATAAAACCAAGGTTGGTTGGTTTGTTTGTTTTTTAGAATGGTTTCTTTGGAGTTATTTTTTTTTTTTGCATGTTAATGGTAGTAAATGGAGACACTGAAGATGTCTTCAGGAGATGAGAAAAAAGGTAATTAGAGCTGATGGTGAAAAAGGGATTTTGGAAACTGGAAATACATTTCTCCAGAGTCTCAGTTTCATAACTCTGAATGTCAAGGAAATATTATTTGCAAACTGTATTAAAAATTTTTGGCTTGTGATGAGAGATCAAATCCTTCAGACCTATCGTACTTTCAGGGCACAGATGAAGGCAGACGTAACAGAAAATGGAATAAATTACCTGGAAATATCATTGTAGTGTCCAGTATGAAATACCAGGAGATATGAGTGGCATTTTTTTGACTGTATAAAGTCCACTTAAATAGGCGTAAATTTGTTGCTGCTGAGGTGCATTCTAATCTTATTGTTTCCTTGTCTTCATCTCAAATTTAAGCAGCCGTGGTTCATAATTCACACACTCCTAAATATATGTTGGATTAATATTTTCAGGTGCTGTATTTTTGGATTGCGCTTATTTCATTTTCAACTTGAAGCTTAGAGTTGGAAATTTGTTTTTATGACCTGAGATTCTAAAGTAATCACTTTCTCAGTGTAAGATGAGTTGTCAGGTATGCCTTGAATAAATATTAATAAATTTGATATAGCTTCCATTACTTACATAATGAAGAAGCAAATTTCCCTTACCAAAGCAAGCAAGATTTTAGTGATCAGCTTTCCTAGAAATTACATTATCCGTAAACTGTAATGATAATCAGAGATAAAAACCTGGTTTTCCAAATGTGAAACATTGTAACTGTGGTAAATTGTTGCAAAGATCTGCATTTAATGAGAAAAGAGCACACAGATTGAAGAGTTTCCAAAGTTAAAACCTAAGATGGTGAAGATCTTCAGCAAGTATTGTGCACACAAAATCCCTGCTGTTATAATGCTTCAATATGTGCAAATGGAAGACAGTAAGTCAGGCAAAAGAGAGAGAGGATTCCCATTTTCTAATTATTACTTGCTGTTTTGGAGAGTAACACAAAGTTTTCTGGGAGAAAAGGAGAGAATCATAGTTCTTTCATATTTGAACTTTGTTAAACTTTTCCAGAGCAGAGTTAACCATGTCAATTTACATCCCATTTTGCATTTCTCTACATGCGGTGTATTCACATTTACCATTATGCTTTTTCAGTTCTTCCTGGAATGGCCAGGAAGGATCGAGTAAGGTGAACAAGGAGATGATTTCCTGAAGTTTGCTTCAGGATAGAAGCTGTATAGAATTTTTCATAGTACACGACAATCATTCAGAACTGAATATTGTTATTTTGTCTGACTTCACAGCAAAGGTTTCCCTGTTTCCCTTAAATCAAAGTTATTGGGTTGTTTGGTTTTGTTGTTCATTTTTGTTTTGTTTTTGTTTTTTAATTTGTGTGCTGTACGCTCCGTGTCAGATTTTCTGTGTAAAGATGCAGCCTGCTGTCTCTTAAAACGATCCTATTATTTCCTCTGTCCAAGAGTAGCGAAAGCCATGATGCTGGCAACTGATATGGGATTAGGGAAAAATCCTAAAATATTAAAAAAAAAAAAAAAAAGTTTCCACTGACAAATGAGTATCCCACTAAAGGCATTGGAAGCCCTTTTATTTCCAAGAGGCATCAAGCTCCTTAACTGTCAAAGGATACTGAGTGACCACCATTTCTAGCCTGTAGGCAAATGGGTGTAAGGTGTATTGAAACGGATCTCCACATTTAAAGATGAAAATTCACTTGTTAAACTTTTTAGAAATGAAATCTTTTGGACTGTTTAGCCATTATCAGCTTTAGTGCCAGCAAATTTGTTCCCCTTGGTGATTTTAATATTCATAAAATTAACATTAATGACTCCATACACAGTGAATTTCTATCACAGTTCAGATTCATTAGATCTTTTCTAACATATTCAGCTCCTTGGTCATTTTCTCAGTCTCAATGATATGGTGTAATGTTTTTCCAGTAAATTGAATAGCTACCTAATCCCTCTTTGATCATTTTATAGTAAACTGTGAAGTTTATTTCCAGAAAGCAGATTGTTAACTATGAAAATCTGTGAATTATTTATCTCCTAGAAACTATTTTAATGCTGATTTAGTTGACAAGTATATTTTTATGTGATGGTTTTAATTAAGATTTTCAAAAGGTTTCCAAGCTTATGCTGTTACCCCATGTACATTTCAAACTAAAAATTTGTCGGCTGCTTTGTTTTCTGAATTTTTTTTTTTTTTTCCCGGAGGAGAGAGGGTTTTTTATCTATGAATAATGTTGTCATTGACTTCGTATTCCATTCCTGGGGTCAATGGCTTCTTTCTCACCTGATTATTTTTGACCCTGGTAAGTAACAGTGAAGGTGGAAGAAAAAGCAATCTGAGACAGAATGTACACAGTAGTAATTTCTGGCAATGTGGAACTGAGAAGAGATAAGTATACTGCAATGAAAGGTTGATTAGAAGAATATGCTGCAGAGTTGCTGCAGAGTGATAAGCTGTGATTCCTTTTTGTAAAGAGACTGCTCAGCTCAGCAAGAGTGAGCTTTGTATTCTTAAAATTTCTAGTTAGGAAATTACTCTATCCTGGAGGTTTTTTGCCCTTTAAAAAGCAGAAAGTAATGGAAAATTGTAACTATATTGTATTAATTGTTTGCAGTAACCAAACCTATGTGTGCTGCAAAGCTGGATGAATTTTTTCCAGCTTTTGCTGTTGCAAAATATTGTTCCTCTGTGTTAGCCTTACATTTGCTTGTGTCCAGCTCCAGATACAAATCTGTTATGCAGTTTGGTCTGTAACACACTTCCCAGTGTACATTATTCGTTTTTTGTGCATGAGCAGGAGTAAGAGAGACTAACATTTCCTATCAACCTTTTATGGACTAATTCTTGGCTTTGACATTTAGTTTTCTTTTGAACCCTTTTAGAGGTCACATGAGGTTTTATTGAGGTTGTAACAAGCTCCTTAAGAATTGGTAGGCTTTGGTGCCACAAACAGTGAAATAGCCAGCAAGGTCTGTCTACTTGCCTTTTTTTTCAGCTGATTTCACGATAGAGTTCTGGTTTTGCTTCTGCTATTGAATATCAAATAGTCAAGAAGAATTCAGGCTATCACAGAACAGAAATCTGCATTAATTAGAATGGAGGATGTCTCACTCTAACAGCAGTATCAGTATCACCGAGTCCTTGGATCAGGCAATTTCAGACTGAGGTTGTGTTGCAAGAGCTGTTAAGGGATTGTCCTAGATTGTAATACCTTGGCATTAAGATTTTAACTATGCTTGTTATTTGTGAATATGCTGAGAAAATAATTAATTACTAGATTAAAAAGAAGTCTTTGATCTTGCAGTATCTAATACCTACTGTCCATGGAGACTGCTATTAAAACAACTAAAGTTCTGTAAAAGTTCACTTAACACCAGGCTTGTGTTATCTTTACATAGGCTCTTTTGTTAGTTGGAGGAGAGAATAACTGTTCTATATTAATTCAGAGCCCAAAAACCCTCAGAGGTCATCACAAGTTAGTAGAGCAATATTATGTGACAGCGTGGCTTTAGGTGTCTCACGTCACTTAAGCTCTAGTGTAGATATAAAAATGGACTGAAACAGAACAACACAGCTGTGAGCTGTCTCTATGCTGGGAACACATGTAATGCACAGCAATTTAGGTAAAGCCAGACAGGCTGGGATTTGCAGGGGAATCCGCCAGATGTCATTTTTGAGTTCTTCTGGTTTTAGAAGTTAACAAATCTCTCAGAGGTAGCAAATTGTTACCTGTGCATGGCTGAACTTCTAAGAGGAAAGATTCTGTCGGATTCAGTGATCTGATGCTGGAGCTGTGGCCAACCTAGTTCTGTTAATGTTGATGGAGTATGAAAAACAGGGATCTGTGTTCCATTCAAAGCTCGTAGAAGTTGACTATCAGAATCACTTTGCACTGAAATACCATCCAGCACTGACACAGAGAAGGTGATGTCACACGTTTCACTTTCTGCTACAGGGATGGTAACATCTGGCCAAGTGATAAAGAACAGCTGGGAGAAGTACAGCTTTACATTGCCCCAGCTGTTCACTTAGCAAGCATGAGTCAGAGCCTTCAGCCTCGTACCATGCTGTAACTTCATGACTTCACTAGGAGCACACTTCACACTCCTACATGATTTTTTTCTTTGGATCCCTATTGGTGACAAGGGCTTCAGTAGCTTTTATTATGAGACTGGGTTAATGTGGCTAAAAATACAAGCTTTATACCATGCTGGATTACTAAGATATTTTTATGTTAGATTTTAGTATGTGTGGAGAAGAGTCCGTCTCTATGTTGAAAAACAAATGTGTGTTTTAAACAAGCAATTTATATAGCTCAGCATATAAATATTATTTGTTTCTGGAATGTTTGTGTACATATGCAAAAATCAAATAATAGGTGAAACTTTTTTTTTTTTTTTTTTTCCCCCAAAAAAAAGAACAGAAAATTTTACTTCCTTCCTTTAAAGGCAGGGAGTTTTTGGTATTTGTAAGTTCATCTGCAGGTGCACTTGATCAGGCTTCTACTGTAGGAGCTTCTGGAATATCTGGCAGCTCACTGACATTTTCTCGAGGACTGCAGTGATCTCTTTTAGAGGTCTTCATGGAGAGATCTGGCTGAGATATGAGAACTAATGATTTGTGATGGACAGGAAGTCAGATCAGATGAGATTGTGGTCTTTTCTGACCATAAAATCTTGCAATAATAATAACAATAAATCAGAAAGCCTCAAAATTTCAAGTCTGATTATTACAAAATAATAAAATGCACTTTGCCCTCCTCTTGCTTCATTGCTGTTGTTTCATAAGCTTACTTGGATAATTCATAATATGCAAAGGATTGATGTACAGACTTACAGATTATGAAGAGAACATAAAACTTTTCTAAATCCTTGACTTCTGGCAGCGTAGAGTTTATACCATTGTTATTTTGAAGTTCTCTATAGTGATAATTTTTTTATATAACATCTATAAATCAGCACTTAAAAATAATTTTTTCAAAAGCACAAAATTAACTCCTGTGACTGGTAGTCTGTGTACACTGATGTTCTTTTATCAGCATGGAAGTGATCAGTGCAGGTGGTGACCACTTATATAACCAAGGCATTAATTTTCTAACATGATGTGTAAGTTAAGTGAGAATTATTAAATGTATTTTCAAATATTAAAACTAAGCTCTGAAATAAATATGTACTCATGTTGGAAATATTCCTCCTCAATTTTATTCTTTTTGTTTGTTTGTTTTTGTAGGATCTTCTATTTGCTTTTAGTCTTGCAGCTAATCATTTACTCTTTCTTTTATCCTTATTGCTTAACTTTGTGCTCTATATTGCATATTCATTAGAGATGGGCAACTGAGACTTAAAGTAGAGATACGCTTTTCAGAAAGCAGTCCTCATTTAGCTTTCTAACAGTGAACCTTCCTGTCATATTGATCCGTTACTGCCGTGCTTCAGGCACAACTGTGTCCTGTTCAGTACAATCATTAATGGGTAAGCTACGATGAGAAATCTTGTGTGTTCACTGGATATTTCATAATGAAAAGTAGATTTTTTTGCCCCAGTGAAGTAGGAGTTTCAAAATTAACATCAATGGAAGTTCTAGAAAAGCCTTTTTGTTCTATATCCTTAATGGTGTTTTTCTAATATAAGGAATGTTTACTGTCATACTGGACAGGAAATCCGGGATTTAGCTGTAAAAAAGATCACTACCAAAAGATCTTTTTAGCAATCAGGCGAGCTCAACACTCACTTGAGACTATGTTATGTTTTAGTTTACATCATCCCATCTTCCACATTTGAACATCTGCCTGCTAGACTGGCCAAGTCAGAATCCACCAATATTCAGAATACCAGAACTTGGGCTTCCTAGTAGGGACAGGTAAAGATATTTTAAACTAAGGTGATGAAATTTTGGCTTTTTTTGTATGATCTTAGGCATTCCTAGGAAGCCATTACAAACATGTTAATGATAAATGTAAATCAACAAAAATTGCACTTAATGGAGTGAATGTTCATCTCTGGCAGAAACTTAAGCCATCTGTTTGTATAGTATTAATCTTACCTGTAGTGTATCAAGAAGGCATTTTGATTTTTAGTAGAGTTTATTGAGCAGATAACATCAGTAGCTGCAGGTAAAACTGAAAACAGAGCTGGGAAGAAGGCCAAATACCAATACATAGTTCTAGTAACTGAGTTTGCAAAGATGCATGAATGCCTCCATGTATATCCATACGTGCATGCTGTAGGTGCCATTTCCTGTATTTAGCTTCAGAAAGACCAGACGCACCTTCTCTCCACATGTAACATTCTAAGCACTGTTCAAATGTAACAGTATCATATTAATTAAGATGAAGGAATGAAATTAAATTATTAACTTCATTTCCAGTTAATTCCAAGATATATGCACAAGGAGTAGATATCTTAGTATTCATTATTCACATCATTACAGTCTTCACCATTGAATCCAGGAAGCATCATAAAGGGGTTTAGGTAATCCACATGCTGTGAGATTATTATGCCTGTACAGAGAAGAGCCTCTGAGCAATGTGAAGCAATGTATTTTGGGACCTGTGTTTCTTCTGTACTGCTTCATCATATTTCTCCTCAAATGTTACATTTTATGCTGCTTTTTTTGATATGTGAGAGGTTCATATTGGGATTGAATCAGCTCATGTTCTTCTCTTAAGGAGAAGGCAGTTGTGCCAGTTTAGAAGATATGCAGTATCAACAAACATGGAAAGGTAGCAAATCCATTGTAAAACATAAAATTCAGTGCAGGATAGTAGTAATTAAGTATTATTTACAAAAATATTAGAAACACAGATTAATTCTTTCTGTCACCTTGGTTTAAAACCTAGTGTGTGTATGCCAAGATGGAATGGCAGTTCTCCAGAAACACATCCTGTGATGTCTTTACCCTTAAGTCTTTCATATTTATTATCTTCAAGGTCCAGACTAGTGTCTACATCAGGCAGAGCCAAGCAAAACTAGAAGGACTTACTCTGTGTCAGTATTGTTTTATGGAAATTGCTGTAGCCTCTGCAATGTGTTGTTTGCTCTTTCCCTTCCACTAGCACTCTCAGTTACTTCAGCAGCACTCTGTAGCCACATCCCACCTTCAGTAAGGGGAAAATATGATAATGAGGATACAGATGGGATCGTCTCCATGAACTCTAATCTCTTTCACTTTCATTGGTGACAGGTGCTGGAATGAATTCTGTGCTAATGGGAACTCCTGAACTACTGGGGTAAAATTTAAATACCTGGCAGAAGAAAATTATCATACTGTTAAAGTACCAGGCTTTGGCTCAGGAGCTGTTCTGAAGACTTTTGTTTGATTTGTGGCATGACACTTAATCTTCTCTACTTCATATATAAAGTGTGGGTAATATTACCTTCTTTTCTTAGTCCAGGAAAGGGTGGTGATTCACACAGGCTAGAAAGGAAAAGACATACAAAATTATTGCTTGAATTTTAAAAGGCTCATATTAATGCATTCTGCAAAGGATGTGGAGCACATATTGAAAGAATGATTATTGTTTTCAGTTCCTATGAGCCATTGCTTTTTTTCACCCTTCGAATATCCCAAGTTTCTGGTACAAGATTTACTCTGAGCAAACACTTTTCCTCTCAGAATTGCTTTTATTTCAGATTGAAGGAGAAAAAGGGGAATAAATGAATAGGGAACTAACAGGATCAACATGAGGGAAAAGCAGTAACCATTCTCTTTATCTGAGCCATTTGGAGTAGATTTTTAGCTCTGTGTTGAAGCAGTCAGCATAGGACAACATTATTTTAAAGAGATGCAAACGAAAAATAGAATCAGGTGACCTACTTATCTGCATAACCCAGCAAACCCTGTATTTTAGAAGAAATTTCCATCTATCTCTACTGCAGCTTTGCATCACTTTCTCATAATGTAAGAATCATCTGATGTTTACGTATGAACTGTAATTTTTCCCCTTGCCAGGGCTATCAGCACAATCTGGACTCAGAGCTGCCTCTCAAAGGGGATGGGTGGAAGAGAAAGATTCTGTAGAAAGTCTCTTCTCAGTCCTGTAACAGAATAACTTTATAAACTGCAGTGGGAAAGTCCCTCATGGAAAGCAGTTCATTTCTTCACAGAAAAGTATGCTGTCTTCTTCCTCCCAGTTTCCCGCAAAGGTCTTATTTCTTAGACCATCTTCTTTCATTTCATGCACATGTTTTCTTCCCATTTTCTTTAATAGAAAACCCAATATCTTTATGTTTCAATCTTTTAGAATGTTGGGACTGAATTGTTTCTATACTTTTGGATACTGAAATCTTTTCTTTTAAGATAACCCATTATCATTTTCTTTCAACTACTCCCCTGAAGAAAGAAGTCTACTGCATTGCTGAGAGATGACTTGCTAAATGTCATAAAATTATTTGTGAATTTCTAGTGAATGTTCTTGAGCTGTAAGGGTCAGAAGAATGCTGATAATACATGATTCTAACGTGTAAGGCTCTTAGAACCGAAAACTTGGAATTCAATCAAAAATAGATTGAGTAGATAATACTCTTATTACACATGCTACGAAGTTAAAAAGGAGTTACTGCTCTTGTAATCCAGCTTACTTGTGAAGTTTAGGAGTATTGTAAACCCTGAACAGTTTGTGATGGATATGACACTTAGGTGGCCTTAGTACAATTAGAATAAACTTTTTTAAAAAAAGCCATGATGGAAGCCCCTTCTTTTCTGGTTCTAAGTGGGACAAAACAGATATTTTTTCTGTCTAAAACTTCTCTTTTTTGTCATAATTCCTTTCAAGCCTTGTATCTAACAGAAAGACCTGCTTCACCTAGCGTGCAGTTAAATTTCATGCTTGATACAAAATTGAGCCTTTTTTAGTTGTGAGATTAAGAATCATGGAATATCCCACATTAGGTGGGACCCACAAGGAATGTCACATCCAACTTCTGGCTCCTTACAGAATTGCCGTAAAATCAACTGTATTTCTGAGAGCATTTCATGCAGGTGTTAAGTTTTATGCAATATATGGATGCTAAATGAGGTCACTACAAGGCTCACAAACAGCAGTGTTTTCTCTGTTACCTCCTTCCTGTATGTGAGATAAGGACGCCGCCGCATTTTGTTGTGATATAATAATGAGAGGAGATGATTGTTTTACTGGTAGATCAAAGACTTTAGCCAAGGACTACCCAGCTTGTGTCTGAGACAGCTCTGTATTATTGCAGATGAAAAAAGAAAGATGTAAAATGAAATTTTGTGTTGGAGGGAGCAGGTGCCTTCTTCTGTTTTGTCTTACTGTGCATTTGTTTAGCTAAGGACTGTGCATTAGCTGTTCCCTTCTCACCTTAGCAACTTACCAGAGTTTGTGTTTCCTCTATTGTCTTTTTTTCTGGCAACACAAGAAGCTGTCTTGAGCTGTGCAGTTTAGCTGTTATGCAAGCTTATTAAAAACAGAAAAATTAGGCAGTTTTTCTTATTTTTCAAATAACTTTTCTGCTATGTCTCTTGTCCTTGCTACTCTTAGTATCGGAAATGTCACATAATGCATCATCTTGTAACCCTTCATTAGCCTTGCACCTATCAACTCACTTTTAACTACAAGCAAATCTCATGGCAGTGAAGAGGACCTCTTCTGCATATCTTTAAGCTAATAAGAGAGTATATAAGAGAATACATAGATTTTAGGTGTATCAATGTTTTCTTTCTCTTGGCAACAAGTTTGCTAGAAAATTGTGGCACTCTGAAATCTATGAGAAGTTTTAGAAGATTTAGAATCTATGAGAATATGTCAGAAGTGTTACTTGGGGAAAATACATTTTAGAGAGAGAAGGCTCTTCCTTTGAGTACAGGCTTTCTCTTCATGCTGAGTGCATGATTTGTTATCATGATCCAAGCAGATACACTGCTAGGAATCTTTCATGTTCCAACATTCAAAGAAAGGTCATTCTGCATAGAATGTTTCTCACTCTAATTTTAATTAAAAAAATCGCACAAGATTTTCTTTTCTCTTATTTGTTGGACTTCAGGCATTTGTTTGTTGCAGGAAAGAGAGAACATGAGAGATTTCATACCCTCTCTTCTCTCAGCAGTTTGTAAATCACCCTGTTAAATGAACTAATGCTTAATGCATTCTGATGGGAGCAGCTTCAGCTTTTGTACATACTTTCCATTTCCCCCCAGTTTTCTTTTTTTGGATCTTGGCATTTTTGTCATTTGGTTAAGAATACTTATCAGACTCGCAAGGAGCAGACAGCAACTGCAGGAAAGCTACATGTGTTAGTTGTGAAGTTTTGAGTGGTCAGATCACACAATCCTGTCCCCAGCTTCCTGGCTCCACACATGTATGAGGTGACAGGAGGAATAATAATCTCATGTCAGCTCACGTCTTCCTGGTACTATGAGATGCTGCAGTGCACTTGAGGCCTTGATCACCTCTGGGGGTTTAGCTTAAGAGCCTGAGCTGGGAAGCCATACTGCAGGATAACATCCAACCAACCTAGTCAAGGAGTTGGTGGGCAGTTGACGCTATCTTGCTGCAAATGCTGCAAATAAATTTGCAAGGTCTGGCACATCTATGAGCAGCTTACTGTCATAACTATCGTAACTATCATAAACTATCGTAAGTCTTCAATTGTATGCTCCTGACACTGATACACTGTGAGGGCTGTTTCTTGACAGAAGTGTTGTGAGAAGTCTGATTGATGCAGTCGGACAAAACCTCATAGTATTTATGCCAAAATGTCTGTTTTAACTCATTCTAGTGAATGCTACACATCGAGACTTTTGTTTGAAAAGTAATAAATGAAAGAATTTTCTGTCGTTATAAAGTTATTTGTCTTTAACACATGGAAAAAAAATATATTTGTTTAATATGGCTTGGACAATTTTATAAAAATGGTGCCTTAATGCAGTGAGAAGCTGCTTAGTTTTCAGGCAGACAGTAATCAGGAATTACACCTGTCAGCTCCAGCTTCTTTCAGACAACCCTGTCTCAGGTGATAGCACCAAGTCATCCTCTTTTGTGAGGAATACAAGAGAAATTTAATCTGAGTGTTTAGTATTCATTTATTTAAATGAGATCAGTTAACATATTTGCTTCTAACTCCCATAGAGGGGGACCATTAACACCTCATTCCTAACAATATATCTACAGAACTCCTTGCATATCAAGTAGTATAAGGAAATTGCCTCTGCTTGCAGGTTAGCTATTAGGCTGCTGTTATTGTTCCTAAATTCTATTTGCCTAACAGGAGTGTGCTCTTGCAGAGAAATCTTATTGAAGTATTAGAAAAGATTTTGTAAAATACATTTTGTGCATATTATCGTATATGATCAAATCAGTTTGTGTACCTGACTGGAATAACTGTTCCTTGAAGCATAGACAGCCCTGAGAGACTTAGCTAAAAAAAGCTGTGCTTTGGGTTTTTGCAGTAACAAAGGGTTAATGGCTTTAGTTAAAGGTATTAAAGGAAGGATTGACAGTAGACCTCTCTAGGAGGGAGCTTGAAGGAAACTGCAAATACAGCAAAGGAAACTGCAACAAGCAATAATTACAGGTGAATTACTGTTTTTTCATCCATTCTCCACCATTAAATGTGAAATAAATAATAACAATAAAAAGTCTCTCACCAACACAGACACTATTGATAAACTTTTAAGTGAGGAAATTTGTAGAAAAACTTCTTATTAGTGTGTCTAATGTTTATTACATTTGCTGGAAGTTTTCTTGATAGGATGGTCAGGAATCAGTCACACAGAGAAACTATAGCCTGGGAAAAAAAAATACCCTTTTGTTCTCTTTATTGGTTTGAATTTTCTCCAAGTGAGTAAGTGAAGCAGAACAGGAAGTCTTGAAAGCATTTGTTCTTTTCCTTGTCTAAACTTGGCTGCCCTGCAGTGCTAAAATCCCAGATCAACAGCTGAAGAGGTGGGATTTAAAAAGTGTGGATACAGTTTGAAATAAAGTCAGTATTTCAAAAACAGTATCTCAGTGTTTCACTATTACAAATGAAAAAAAGTTATTTACACCTGAGTTACAATAGATAGCCTCATCTTGATGTCCCCTTCTTTGTAAGCTTTTGATTTATATTGTACTTGCGTTCTCAAAGGATATGGTGGATTCAGTCCCTCAGTATTCCCTAATATAGAGTTTTAAAAACCTGCTGTTTTATCTATAATCATTTTCAACTGCTTGGAATAAAAAAAAAATTTTTTTGATCTTTTTGAGCAAAGGAAGGGTGAAGGAGAAAGAAA